TATGATCATAGCTAACTTCTGCCTTGATCTTCTGGGCTCAAGCATTCCTCCTGCCCCAGCCTCCCTAGTAGCTGGGACCACCATGCCCAGCTAATTTTTAAAATTGTTTTAGAGATATGGGATCTTGCTTTGTTGCCCAGGCTGGTCTTGAACTCCTGGGCTCAAGCAATACTCCTGCTTTGCCCCTACAAAGTGCTGGAATTACAGGAATGAGCCACCATGGCCAGCCCTAATTAATTCAAAAATTACAACAAGCCATTACATGTTATCCTGAGTAACTTTTTTAAAAATCAGAAAATTAAAATTTAGTGAGAAGCATGACCTTGCTTTTTCATTTTTGCAAAACTCACTTTGGGCTTGATAGAAATCAGCTTGAGTCTCGTATCTGCTTCAGCAGTCAAGGGTTGTCATATGTTTGAAATATATGAAGAACATTTGGCCTCACACAGTTATGTCATTGCAAAAGAGAAAATGTTGATAACCTTTTCAGATAATTGTGAATACTCTTTTTTTGATATTACATCAGAACTTTACAAGTTATAGTTTTGTAAAGGCGTGCTACAATGAGAAACCTGAAACTGTGTCACTTAACTTTTTGTACTCTGTTTCCTTAAGATTCACTGGTCTGGTTTTCACTTTGAATGGCTCTTGTACCTATGCATGCTTTTGTAACATCAGGCATTGATCATTTGGAAAGTACAGGTTTACTGAATTATGCATATCATCCAAATTTTGACACATTATATAATATCAAAATATCATTTATGAATATTAACTCTGAACTCATCAGAAAGTCTATGGTAAACTGTTAAACTTACAATGGTGGATGCAAGTTTTCCAAAATTCTAATTTTCACTTGAAAACTCAAATTTCATAATTGGCATAATTCTGTCAGCTGTTTTCCTTTACGTGGAAGGCTAACTTGTTTCATTTTTGAGAGAACATCTACCAAATAACTAACTCCAAATAATCATAATTTATCAAATTTGTTTTCAAGTAAAAATGGTATTCAATGAAAAAAGTGACTTCCACTCATGACTTAAACAGCTATAAAAGTGCTTTTTCTTAGGGAAGTCATCCTTCAATGTGCAATACAAGTACTTTTCTATGTGTGTCCCATTTTGACACACAGAATATTAAAGACATACTCAAAGGTTGATATGTAATAAGATGAATAATTTATATTGCTTTGTCAAGGACATTCCTAAGGCAAATGGGCTTTTATTGTGTTTGTGTGAATGTATGGTGCTGAAAAATTTAAAAATGCATCAAAGATTACCTCGCATAGTATTTCCCAAAGAGTTTTTCCTAGCATATTGGTCCACAAGATGCCATAGAGCTGTGCTGTTGAATATGGCAGCCAGTAGCCACATGTAGCTGATGAGCACTTGAAGTCTGATTAGTCTGAATTGAGATATACTGTCGTTGTAAAATACACACTAGATTTCAAAGAGTACCAAAAAAGAATGAAATACCTCAATAACAGTTTTTTAAAAAATGATTATGTGTTGAAATGTTTTTTCTTTTTTTGAGACAGGATCTCACTCTGTCACCCACACTGGATGCAGTGGTACAATCTCGGCTCATTGCAGCCTCTGCCTCCTGGTCTCAAGTGATCCTCCCTTCTCAGCCTCCCAAGTAGCTGAGGCCACAGGCATACCACCATGTCCACCTAATTTTTATATTTCTGGTAGAGATGGGGGTTTTGTCATGTTGCCCAGGCCAAGATGTTTTTTCTATATTGGGTTAAGTGTAATATATTGTTGACTAATTTCACCTAATTCTTTTTTTAACATGGCTACTGAGATTTTTTAAATTTAATATGTGGCTCACAATATATTTCTGTTAGACAGTATTACTCTAGAGAGAAGTTTTGTGGCCAGATTTATTTGGGAAAAAATTGGATATGTATTTCTCCTTGAAGATTTATTACACATATTGGGATAGAAATATTGAGGAGTCTTACCCACAAAAATCTTTTAAGATTTTGATTAACCCAGCAATTCCCAAACATATTATAATTTTGGGCCATTAGTTAACATTCTGTGGTACTAGCTGTAGAACTATAGAATTGTTCATCCAAGTTTGGGAACAGTTTTAGTTCAGTTATCTTTGTTTTGCTGATGAGAAAACGGAAGGGTAGAGTTGGTCACATTATATAACTTGGAAATTATATAAACATCTCCTTAGGGCAAGTTCAAGAAAAAGATATATACATTTAATTATTGGTAGGATGACCACTTGTTTTTAACTTCGCATAAGATCGTTTAAATTGATAATATAAGCCAGGCATGGTGGCTCATGCCTGTAATCCCAGCACTTTGAGAGGCTGAAGAGGGTGAATCACTTGAGGTCAGGAGTTCAAGACCAGCCTGGTCAACATGGTAAAACCTTGTCTCTACTAAAAATACAAAAATTAGCCAGGCGCAGTAGCATATGCCTGTAATCCCAGCTACTTGGAAGGCTGAGGCATGAGAATCTCTTGAACTCGGAATGTGGAGGTTGCAGTCAACCAAGATCATACCCCTGCACTCCAGCCTGGGCAGCAGAACGAAACTGTCTCAAAATAAGTAAATAGGGTAGGCGCAGTGGCTCACTCCTGTAATCCCAGCACTTTGGGAGTCTGAGGCAGGTAGATTACTTGAGGTCAGGAGTTCGAGACCAGCCTGACCAACATGGTGAAACCCCATTTCTACTAAAAATAGAAAAAAAATTAGTCAGGCATGGTGGCGCACACCTGTAATCCCAGCTACTTGGGAGGCTGAGGCAGGAGAATCGTTTGAACCTGGGAGGTGGAGCTTGCAGTAAGCCAAGATTGTGCCATTGCACTCCAGCTTGGGCAACAAGAGCTAAACTCTGTCTCAATAAAATAAAATAAAATAAATTGATAATATAGTGGGGAAGGTCTCAAATTTATTTTTTAAGTCTTGGTTTCTGCCTTCCACTTCTGGTTTTAGTCTACAACATTGCTTAATGTTTTACTATGTCATATCCTAGGACAGTGATTATTAACCTTTTAAAATTATAGATTGAGAATCCGAAAAGAAAACAAAACCTTCGCAGATTCTCCCATCAGAATTATTAATATACACACAACTTTATAGGATTTCAGGAGGTTATAGACCTTCTAAACCTATCCATTGACTGCAGATTAAGAATTCTTCTCTTATGGTTCAGGGATAATGAATTTATGGCTATTAAACAACGTAACTCTCACTCTTGAATTGTAGTTTTAAAAAGCCCACCAATCTCTAGATGTTTATTAGATATGTATGTTGCATAATTCTACACTCTGAAGAATCCCATAAGTATAATATAGTGTCACCACTCACAAGAAATTTAATATTTCCTATGGCTTAAAACATTTTTTTTGAAAAACCTTGAAATGATAAGCAAGACTCATTTTACCTAACCTTAGAAATATTTATGGAAAGCTCTGTAAAAGCTTAGAGTAAGTGAAATACTCAGTGTACAGGCAAGGTTAGTCCTCTAATGAGCAGTTAGAAAAACCATCATGTGCTATATGTGAGCAATGTTCAGGATATCTATAGGGAAGTGGACATTATTATAACTTCAAAACGTGTCTTGCATTGATAAATGAATTGTTCTGTCTGCCCGCTCTTCAAGGGGCACTCGTACAGTAAGATGCAGAATTTCCCATCCTGCATTTTTAAGGAAAATGTCAGAAGAGATTATTTTTCTTCAAGAGTATAAACTGATACTTTATTTACCAGGGCAGTACTGGATTTCAGTGTACGTCCAGTTACACAGATTTATAAATCAAAGAGAATATAGATGAAGTTGGATGCAATGGCACACACTTGTAATCCTAGCAGCTCAGGAGACTGAGGTGGGAGGATCTCTTTAGGCCAAGAGTTTGAGACTAGTCTGAGCAACATAGCAAGACCTCAACTCTAAAAATTTAAAAATTAGCTGGGTGGCACATGCCTGTGGTTGCTGCTGCTTGGAAGGCTGAGATGGGTGGATTGCTTGAGCCTAGGAGCTTGAGGCTGCAATGAACTATGAGCACACCACTGCACTATAGTCTGGGTGACAGAGCGAGACCCTGAATTTTAGGAGAAACAAATACATGTATGTGTATGTGTATTAAAAGAGACAATGTCTGAGGATTATTAACTGAATAGTTTGAGACCCAAATCTAATCCTTGGAGTTGAGCTGCTTTACAGAGATGGCTTATATCCACTAAGGGCCTGCACTACAGCTAAATTATAACAGGTCATTGTAATGCTTAACATGCAAGGCCCTTTATGTGCTAATTCAAACCTGAATCCCTTTTGCTACTTTACATATTCTCTATTCCCACTTGCCGGTCTCTGAACTTGCAACATACTGTTATTTCTAGTGCCTGGGATTCCTCCTGACTTCCATCTTTATCCATCTTTCAAAGATGCTACTTGTTCTTTAAAGCTCAATCCATGAAGCCTACAGATGAGAATATTCCTTCCTTAGAACCTATTAATATCTTCCTGTTAGTCTTTGCACTAAATTAGTTTTTCATGTATTTTTCTCACCAAAGGCCAGGCCTGCATCTTACTCATTTCTCAGTGCTGTCCCTAACAGCACTGGCAAGAGTTTGAACTTTGTAGTTGTTCAGTAAGCATCTGTTGAATAAATGTAAAACCCCAGAGAAAATAGGTGGTACTTAGTATTAACAGTTAACATATATTTTTACTTAAATATGGGAATTTGAGCATCCTCGAATGAGAAAATCTCATTTTGGAACTGGACAGGGATGGGTGGGAAGAGTGGTTGAGTGCTGTGTCTCCCTTGCACATCTGACTATGCATGGTTTCAGAATTCTTGCTGCTTTAACTACTACTACCATTTTACAAGTATCTTAGTTTTTATTTTACCTTACACACTGTATAATACTATTGGTGATTGCAAATGAGGTTTAAATTCAGATGAGTTAATGTCTTGGTGTGATAATATAAAATACCCGTTTCCAAAGGAGTGATTTTTTTCCCCCCCATTACAGGCATGTAATGAATTCACTACACATGTGATGAACCTTCTCCGAGAACAGAGTAGAACACGTCCCATTTCCCCCAAAGAGATTGAAAGAATGGTGGGCATCATCCATCGAAAATTTAGTTCCATTCAGATGCAGCTCAAACAAAGCACTTGTGAAGCAGTTATGATTTTAAGATCAAGGTTCCTTGATGCCAGGTATGTGAAGTCACAAATCTATTGCATGGCTTTCCCCCGTCTTTCACTCCATGTATATTATTTTCTGTAAAACTGGCCAGATCTTAAATTCTTCTTTAATTTGGCCATATGAGCTCTTTTGTACAACGGACAGGTAATTCAACTCATGGTGCCTGTGCTATCAAGCTTTTTCCTGTCTGGGAATGGTAGTGTGGGTTAGCTGCCAATTTAGTGTCTCAGGAAATAAATAGGATTAGCATCCCTGCTAATGACTTTAGGAATATATAGCCTTTCCATTCTGATGCTAAAAGGTATTTTTTAAGGATAATTTTCTGCATGTAACTATTTTAACAAAGGGTATTTTTTTTTCCTTGAGACAGAGTCTCACTGTGTCATCCAGGCTCAGTGGTGCAATCTCTGCTCACTGCAACCTCCTCCTCCCAGGTTCAGGCAATTCTCCCGCCTCAGCCTTTCGAGGAGCTGGGACTACAGGCGCCCACCACCACACCCAGCTAATTATCTTTGTATTTTTAGTAGAGATGGGGTTCCCCTATGTTGGCCAGACTGGTCTTGAACTCTTGACTTTGATCTGTCTGCCTTGGCCTCCCAAAGTGCTGGGATTACAGGTGTGAGCCACCGTGCCCAGCACAAAGGGTATTTTCTAAGAATTTCGTAATTTTACACTGATTGTGCGTATTATGGGAAAATACTTGGAGATACTGATACTCCTAAGAAAGAAGTGGCATTTCAGTTACTAGCAGTTACCGCAAAACTCCAGAGTCTGTATTTTTAAATCAAGAAAGCAAGCCTATCATTTTTCCTGTAAGGATGAAAATTTTCCTTTATCTGAAGCTTTTCCCAAGTTTCACAGGAATTAGGTAATGCATTGTATATGGTAATAAATTGTATATAGTGACCTACTGAGTGACAGAACGGAAGAACTGTCAATGTCCTAGTATATGCTGCCTCTGTAGGGATGCCTCTCAGGCATTGCTAAAGCTTATGATCAATCTGCAGCTTTGGAAAGGAGTTTCTATTTTATTTTTCTTTCTTTTCCCATGGAATCTGACAGAGGTGATCATTATCCAAATCTCACAATATTAAAGGAAATAACTAAAATTCCTTCTCGACTGGAAAACAAAGTATGTGGAGCAGTCTTCATGCCAGAGCTCTTCCTTAGAGCCAAATAAGAAAACATTATATCACTATTTTCCTACTTAACCAAAACTTGATATAATCTTTAGTTCTCTCTTCTTCCATATGGAATTAGTCACTAGAACTCACTGTTGCTTCCTTTTCAGTGTTTTTCATGTTAGCTCTCTTTCCATCTCTGTTCCTGTCCATCCTTTTGTACAAGGACTAGCACAGTACCTACTAGTCTTCCTGACTCCAGTCCTACTGCTCTCCAGCCCATCCTCCATATCTCTTGTCTGTTTCTGTAACATTACTGTGCTAGCCTGATTGCTTTGCTTAAAAACCACAGTAGCTTTCCAATGCTTTTACATGCATACTCACATATACACTCCTTAACCTGACATTTAGGGCCTGTCCCTGTCTGCATTACTTCTTTGTTGTTGTGAAGATTTTATTAGTCTTCTTTCTATTTGAAAAATACCAAGTTCACTATGGAAAATTTCAAAAATATGTGGAATAAAAGGATGAGGAATAAAAACCTCATTTTTATTACTTAAAGAAAAAAATCACTATAAATGTTTTAGAATATTTTCTTCTCTTTTTGTTTGTTTGGGTGCTTTTAAAAAGAAATGTTTCTGTAATGGGTCAGTATACATAGTTTGGTCTGCTTTTTAAAACATTTACAATGAATACATAAACATTTTCATGTAATTATAATCTCTAATTATAAATAGTACTTGTGAAGTTACCAAATGGATATAAAATAAATAATGTACTTAGCATTCCCTTATTTTTGAGCATTTGTCTTTATTAATTTTTCTTTTCTTTTTTTTTTTTTTTTTTGAGAAAAGGTCTTACTCTGTCACCCAGGCTGGAGTGTAGTAAGTGATGCTATCATGGCTTACTGCAGGCTCAACTTCCCAGGCTCAAGTGATCTTCCTGCCTCTGCCTCCCGAGTAGCTGGGAGGCTGTGCCACCATGCTTGGATAATTTTTGTATTTTCTGTAGAGATGGGGTTTTACCACATTGCCCGGGGTAGTCTCAAACTCCTGAGCTCAAGCTACCCTGCCTCCTAAAGTGCTGGGATGAGTCACCATGCCCATCCAACTATAATTTTCATATAATCTCTTCCTTTTTTCCATAAATATTTATTGGTACTGAGGATATAGTGGTAAACAAGATAGGTTAACATACTTGCCCCAATTGAGTTTATATTATCCTTGAGGAAACAGATAGCAAACAAGCGAATGAATATACTGTAACACTCTATTCAATAATGTAATCAAATGTAAGAGGGTGATAAATGCTATGCAGAAAAATAAAGCAAGTCAAGAGGAGAGAAAATGAAGAGGGTACTATTTTAGATAGATTTTTATTGAAACTAACATTTAATGAAAATCTTCATGCATTGAACCTTTTTGGCCTTCAGGATTATTTCCTAAGGATCAATTCTTAGAAATGGAATTATTAGATCAAAGTTTAAACATTTTCAGTGTTCTTATTTTATATCACTAAATTGTTCTTTCCTGTGTTTCTTCCAAAAATGAAATGCCTCATGGACTTACCTGTTTCCACTGCTTAGAATTCCTTCTTTTCCTGAGTCTAACCACTTACTTCCCTCCCTCCCACAACAAACCGTCTGTCTTAAGTTAGTTACTGGTAACAAGGCATCATCTGTGAAGGTATATGGAACAGAGCCCAGAATGGAACCAGTGCTCGTACTTGTCGGGCCTAGTGAGATCTTGCTCATCATTCCAGGTCTTGTCTAAATGCTCCCATTTCAGAAAATCCACTTTAGTCACCCCACTGGACTAGCCCTTCCTTCCCTTGAACAGTTATACTATGTTTATTCAACTGTTTAGACCAAACTTCATGTAGACTCCCTTTCCTGTAGTTTTTCACAAACATTTCTTCTCTTCCTTAGTAAGCCATGATGTCATTGAAAGCAACAGCCAAGACTTATACATTTGCATTCCCCACAATTCTAGCAAATGACTTGCACGTTAGAGGCCACCAAAAGGAATTTGTTGACTGGCCAGATAAATGAATAATTCCAGTTAATACTTTGTAACAGCTCAAATCAGAGTTAGAGAGGTAGCATCAGAAGGCAAAAAACATTTTTAAATTATTTGTCCAAATTTGAGCATTTTAATAAAAAGCATTATGTAACAAAGAGTAAAATATATGTCTGATAGAAAGGAATGTTTTCTAACATAATTGCTATCCTTATTTCTGCTGATACTTTCCCATTCTTGTCAACATGTAAGTTTATTTTTTCCATAATTGCATTCATAATGTATACACCTAAATGATTTATTTTTTCTTCCACGAAGAGAAAGTATATTAACAGCCTAGAGAGAGCAGAGCTGGAATGAGAGAGTGGCAGAGCTTGGAGCAGAGTCCCTTCTCTCACGGAGATTGCTGGTAGTAATACTGTGATGCTGATGGGATACAGCCCTGGACTGATGTGCCACTGCACATTGACCTCAAGCATAGCCATTTAGAGTGTGGGGAACCCTGGGGGAGTGAAACTGAGGGGAAATGCTTAATGGGCATTTTCTACAGGATGTTTTCTAAAATATAAACGTATAAGACCAAGTTCTCTCATGTGCCTTCAAGTGAACGCAAATACTGAGCTTTGGTTCCATCTATTCTTGTAGTGCCTCCCAGCAAGCCCTCTGCACTGAGAAGGCAAGGGGCTCTGCTCTAGGCAAACATGCGCAGTCAGATGTATCATTCCCTTGCTCACTCTGGCTTTCCATGCTTATGTTTTCTTCATAATTGGACAAAATGAAGCATGCAGTGCAAAAAGAACAGATTTGTCTAGGTCCCTCTTCTCTTCCAGTAGAAGTGCTGGAGTTTGGACACAGACAGAATATCTGGTCAGCTATTCTGTTTGTTCTCTGAGGTTTTTGATGAAGCACCCTTGGGCAAAATTGATATGAGCCAAACTTCTCTTTGCTTTCCTAGATATATTTTTTTTTGATCCTCCTTTCACACATTCCTATTTCCCAAAGAAATATACTTGTGTCGTCTCTTTCCCATCTACTCTGGGCCTTGCTCCTGGGCTCCATGTTTTCTACTAGGAGTCACAAACTTAAATGCTTACATATAGTGGAATTGAGTGGAGTGGCTTGATCAGGGATATAAGGAGGGACAGTGAAGGTCAGAACAGGCAGGTGCATGTCTAAGGGGACAGCCATCACCCAGCTTTAGCTTAGAGCTGCCTTCTGAGAACATGGGCTCAGTATGGCTGACATCCCAATTTTTCATAAGAAGTCAGAAACTTAGATTCTTATGAGCAGGTAATTACTGTGTAGTCTCAACAAATAATGTCTGTGGGTCAGATAATGCCTGTGAATTTGACATTTTCGTATCTACTGTAGACCTTACCCATGTACCTACTCATCAAAGTATGCCTCCTCAACGTGCCCTCACCCCGGGACCTTGTCTTGCTTTTCAAGCAACACATGACTCCTGCAAAAATGCTAACTGTTCTTCTTGGTGTAGTTGTCTTCCTTCCCCTCCTTCCCTGTCTTCCCCTACCACCTCTCCCATCCAGTTCATCATCAAATCCTGTTGATTGTAATCCCCAAATAGATCTTCAATCTCATCTTCACCCCCCAGAAAACAATAGTTTAACCCTCCTAAAAATTATTGAAATTAAGAAATTTCAGGACTAAAACCTGAGTTATTTTGATCAGACCTAGATTTTGTGCTCCCTTGACTGTCCCTTAATGTTGAAATATAGATCATGTACGTAACCTGCCATGTGAGTGACATCATTTTGACTAGAAAAATCTCATAGAGTGCATACCTTTACAACAGCCTACTGACTGTCTTTTCTGACTGTGGGATATCACAATTGAGAAGAATTAAGATTATTTGGAAGAAAATATTAAGAAAATTATCTGAGAAAGGCATTTTTTAGTTACTGGAGTACTTAATTGAAAGTGAATTCTGACAAATGATAATTTTCAGGCTGGAATTTTTAAAAATCTTAATAATAAAACCCAAATATAAATGATATTTTTGCTACTTGAAATATGTTGTTAATAAATATTTGATCTTTTGAAAGTCTGTCACCCACTTCTTTGCCCCCCCCCCCAAATATTTTGTTCTTTCCTCTACCTTGTGAAGGAAATCATCCTCAGTCTAGGCAGTGGCTTAAGCAGAAAAACTTAGAAATCCTCACTCCTCCTATTCAATACATCATCAGGTCCTATTGCTTTTACCTTTCAAGTAAATCTTAAATCTTATTTTTATCACTCTCACCCTGTGCCAGGTTACTGTGATCTTCAGTTTGACCAGTGGAATCATCTCCTAAAATGGGCTTTGTAGTTCCTTTCATGCCCTCCTTCAACTATTCTCAGCAGTCAGAAGGATCTTTTAAAAACTTGAAACTTAAAGCCTTTGATAGTTTCCTACTGCACTCAGCATAAAATCCAAAAATTCTTATAGAGTCCACTGAGCTTCTGTAATATGTCCCCTACCCATCCTTCCAGACTCATCTCACACATTCCCTGTCTTTTACTGTGCTCCAAGCTGCTCTAACCTTTAGACAAGAAGTTTCTGTTTCAGAACTCTTCCTTTGCCAAGTTCTCTTCCCTGTAACCTCTCTGATAGACCTTGTTTGTTCTCACTGGATCTTCATTGAATACCTAAAGTATTAGGTCCTCAAAGAATTGTGCTTTATAGGCCGGGCGCGGTGGCTCAAGCCTGTAATCCCAGCACTTTGGGAGGCCGAGGCGGGTGGATCACGAGGTCAAGAGATCGAGACCATCCTGGTCAACGTGGTGAAACCCCGTTTCTACTAAAAATACAAAAAAAAAATTAGCTGGGCATGGTGGTGCGTGCCTGTAATCCCAGCTACTCAGGAGGCTGAGGCAGGAGAATTGCCCGAACCCAGGAGGCAGAGGTTGCGATGAGCTGAGATTGCGCCATTGCACTCCAGCCTGGGTAACAAGAGTGAAACTCTGTCTCAAAAAAAAAAAAGAAAGAAAGAAAGAATTGTGCTTTATAGTCTGGTATTTTTTCTTAGTGATCCTACATCTAAAAATGAGTTGGATAATGGTTTGGAGGATGTCTAGAATATAACTTTAAAATATCACAGAAATAAAATTAGACCTTAAGGATGTTTAAAAGAGAAATCTACTTTTTTGGTATGATCCTAATTAATCTATCCCTCTTACGTTAATGCTGATTGTAATGGAAATTCCTTTTTTTTTTTTTTAAAATCTTGTCATAGACGGAAAAGGCGTAACTTCAGTAAACAGGCCACAGAAATCTTGAATGAATATTTTTACTCACACCTCAGCAACCCCTACCCCAGTGAAGAAGCCAAAGAGGAGCTGGCCAAGAAATGCAGCATCACAGTGTCACAGGTGAGAAAGGACCATGGGTCTGTCTTGTTCCTGGTGGATACAGGAACCCCATTTCTTCCTCAGGGCGTTATGATCAAATTTCATATCCAAATGTTCTATCATCAAATAAAATGTGAAGAAAATCTAGTAAACCTTAGATAATTTTTTAAAACCCTAAGTGGCAAGGAGTCAAGATCACCACCACCCACATTCCCCAGTGTAAATCTTCTATAGAGAGGGCATAAACATGCCATGGGGAGAGATGTAGTTTACACTTAAGTGACTCTTAGTAAAATGGCATGTATTCTTGGTTTCCCTCATTTAGATGACTGACCTAAGCTTCTACCCCCAAGAAACCAATTTATTTGTTGCTGAAAGGAAATTTAATATAACTCTTCAGTGAAAGCTTTGAGGAATTCACCAAGCTCTTTCTTGGTAACCATGCTGTAATGCTTGAGTCCCAAGGATTTCTTTGCTTCCTTTTGCCCATTAAACAGAAGAATTAAATTCATACTTTCAGAATTTTGGGCTTTGGGTTTTAAAAAAAGAATGTTCATTTGTAATAATTTCTGGCCCTGAAGTTGGTTGTCATCGTCTGACAAAAATACATTTAGCTTTAGTCAAATAGACTGGTATTTGGATTGAGGATTGGAAACAAATAAATTAACAAACAACTGTACCTCCTGAGAACATAAATATATCCTATTTAGCATTACCTTTAAAATATAATTTTATTTAAATGTTCATATTTTTGTTAATAGATTGACATTTGAAGAGCATTTCTTCATAGCATGCAAAAGTGATAGTTTACCAATCAGACTTTATAGTGAAACTTAAGGAAAAGCTGACCATTGTCAAAAATTTCAGTGTTCTCTAGGGGTCACATGAAACCATTTTTAAAAGTAGTTTCTAAATAAATACTCCTGCTGTAGATGAAGTTCAAGATATTCAAGATCCCCTTCAAGTTCCAATGAGGACCTCTTATCAGTATCGTTGTTTATGGGAATAGGGCCTAGCTGTAAGATGATTTCCAGCTTCTCTTTTGGCATTATTTTCTGTAGAAACTCAAGAGCAAACTTTGATTTATAATTAAGGTTTCATTCAAGGTTTATTGTTATTTCTTGTATGAAATGATATATCTTGATTTCTTTTTGCTCGGTTAGAAATGGAATATAATTGACCAGGCACTGTGGCTCACGGCTGTAATCCCAGCACTTTGAGAGGCTGAGGCAGGTGGATCATGAAGTCAGGAGTTTGAGACTGGCCTGAGCAACACGGTGAAACCACGTCTGTACTAAAAATACAAAAAGTAGCCGGACGTGGTGGCACATACCTGTAATCCCAGCTACTTGGGAAGGTGAGGCAGGAGAATCACTTGAACCTGGGAGGCAGAGATTGCAGTGACCCACTGTACTCCAGCCTGGACCACAGAGTGAGTGTCTGTCAAGCAAGCAAGCAAGAGAGAAACAGAGAGAGAGAGAGAGAGAATATAATTAAAGAAAGAAAGACAGAAAGAAAGAGAAAGAAAGAAAGAATATAATTGATTTGGATTACCAGCCTATATACATAGATATGTATATTATATAAAACATTACTAACTGGGTTACTCACTTCCATATGAAATACAGAGGAATAGCATGATATGCCGGGTTAGCCAGAGAAGACAAAATTAATTAAGAATCGTTTCATCGGGCGCGGTGGCTCACACCTGTAATCCCAGCACTTAGGGAGGCCAAGGTGGGTGGATCACGAGATGAAGAGATCGAGACCATCCTGGTCAATGTGGTGAAACCCCGTCTCTACTAAAAATACAAAAAAGTAGCTGGGCATGGTGGCACATGCCTGTAATCCGAGCTACTTGGGAGGCTGAGGCAGGAGAATTGCCTGAATCCAGGAGGCGGAGGTTGCAGTGAGCCTAGATCGCGCCATTGCACTCCAGCCTGGGTAACAAGAGCGAAAACTCCATCTCAAAAAAAAGAATCGTTTCAAGTAGGATTTTATAGTGAGTGCCTTTTCCCTCAACATTAGTGAAAGGATTAGGTTCATGTCAAACACCAGTTGATGATGCCAAGTCTGGTTTTCCTGCTCTCACAACCACTCTCTGACTTAGAATTTGAATGTTTGTGGATGAATTTAAGGTGTTTTCCTGCTTCCACTCTTTTTTTTTTTTTTAATAAAAAACACCTCTATAACATATACACCAATAATACAGATTAATATTCACTATTTCAAAAACAATGAAATCTGGAGTTTTCATTAGCTGTAGTACCTAACACTTTGTGTGTAGTGTAGACTGTGCTTAGTATACACGTGTGGAATAAGTGATAAAAAGGTTTCCTTCCGGCTGTTCTGAACTAGGGAGTTTTCACCTCTAAAATAGGCTAGGAACCCACTTACCAGTGTATTTCTTTTTTAAATAGTTAATTACTATATTCATTTCACTTGTTTTCTATGGAAAAATAGCTTTATCAGTTTCTAAAAATTTTTTTTAGCAATTGCTGAGAAAAAGTATGGAGGTAGAAATAATATAGATAGAGCTTTATTACTCTGTCTAAAAAGCAAACTTTCTGACTTTGTTTCTTCCAGGTCAACCTTTCAAACACAGAATTTCAGCAATCAGTTTAAGTGTCAATTTAAATCGTGGCAGTTTCTTTCTCTTTTAATCATTTTTCTGCTTGTAATTTTCCATTATTCCCTCTTCCTACCTCTCTGAAGTGGAAACAGTGGTTATCATTTTAACTATAAAAGAAACAAGCCATGCTTATAAATTAATGGCATTTTGTTTATGTTTTTAAACAGTGAAAGCAAAGAATTTCTGTTGCAGGCCTGACAGGTCAACTGCCTTTCCCCTCCTCCCCCTGCCTTTTCTTTTTTTAAGACAGGCTCTCGCTCTATTACACAGACTGGAGTACAGGGGTGTGTTATCACAGCTCACTGTAATTTTGAACTCCTAGGCTCAAGCAGTCCTTCTGCCTCAGCCTCCTGAGTAGCTAAGACTACAAGCACACCACCATACTCAGCTAATTTTTTAACTTTTTGTACAGACAGGGTTTCACCCAGTTGTCCAAGCTGGTTTTGAACTGCTGACCTCAAGTGATCCTTCAGCCTCAGCCTCCCAGAATGCTGGGATTACAGGCATGAACCACTGCACCTGGCCAACTACTTTCAAGTTAAAATGTAAATCACTCTGAAATACAATTAAATTTAGAATCTAGAAATTGTTCATAGAGAAAACTAACTTTAAAAATATTGAAACCCCCTGAAAACAGGCAACTGGAGTAACACTATTTTTACTAGATTTAGAATATATGAAACTGTGATTTATTTGCTGCAACTGCTTATAATACTTAATCATAGGGAAACTTCAGAAGAAATGTAAGGCAATACCTTTAGTGCTGTGAGGGCAGGATAAAATTTCTTAAACAGGACATAAAATGTGTAAGGAACAAAGGAAAAGATTGATAGATTTAATGGTAGAACGTTTGTTTATCAAAGTACTTAATAATGACTGAAAACATCAACATGATACAGCCATTCAGTAAAGATTGGATCAAATCTAATTATCAATAGATATCAACATTTAGCAGAAATTTTTGATGAAGAACATGGTCTTAAAGTGTCTCTCTGTAGACCATTTAAAGTTGCAAGGGATTTTTAAAGAGTAATAATAGAGTGGAGAAATGGAACAAAAATTTGACCAGGTGACCAGAATCAACATCACCAAGGAGGAGTATATGGACTTTGGGTGTAGTATTTCAATCAAGAACATAACATCAATTGAATCACAAGGCAATACCAGACAAATCCCAAATGAGGAATGTTCTATTGAGGACACAAGTGGGGAGGGAGCATTATTCTTTAAAAATGTCCAAGAAAGGGCATGGAAATGTTCTAAATTAAAAGAAGCTAAAGAGCTATGCCAAGTAATTGCAATACTTCACCCTAGATTGGATTCTGTACTGTACATACCATAAAGGATATTGTTGGGTTAAATTTACTGAAGTAAATTGTAATTGATAATTGTACTATGGTTATGTTAGAGAATCTCTCTAGACTTAGGAAATATACCCTGACTGACTTAGGAGTAAAGGACCATGATGTATATATAACTTACCCTTAAATGTTCAGAAAAAAAAATATGTGTTTGTATGTATATGTGTGTATATAAACACACATACACATAGCACATGAGTGCCCACAAAGATAAAACAAATGGTCCAAAATGTTAATAGTCGGGGAAGGACATATACAGATACTCTTTATCTGTTTTTTTGTTTTATTGTTGCAGCTTTTTTGCACATTTGAAATCATTTTCAAATAAAATATTGTCTCAACTGTGGAAAAGGCCCACAGACTGCAAGAAGATATTTACAAATATATAAGCAAGAGAGGATTAAAATCCAAAATATATAAGGAACTCCTATAAATTAATAAGAAAAGGGAAATAACCTATTTCAAAAATATGCAAGAGTCAAACAAGGATTTCCTTGAAGAAAAAACATAAATGGCCAATTGTATGAAAAGATCCTCATTAGGAATCAGGAAAATGTGATTTAAAAATTGCAGTGAAATAACTTACATTTCCTAGATTGGCACATTCTGCTACCAAGAATGTGTAGCAGTAGGAACCCTTACGATATTGATAGTAGGGATGTAAATTGATATAGCCACTTTGGAAAACTTCTAACATTATTTTATAAATTTGAACATGCATATGCCATTCAACCCACAATTTCTAGAATACCTCTTAGTCTGTATTTCAGGAAACATTGGTAAGAAGATTCATAGTAACGTTGTTTGAAATGGCAAAAACTTGAAATAAACCATTTGTCCACAGACTGAAGAAATGGATTAATATACTGTGTTACAATCCCACGATGGAGCACTATACAGCAGTGGAAAAAAAATGATCTACATGTATCAATTCATGTTGAGATAAAAATGCAAACTGGAGAATACACATAACATAACATTTTTACAAAGTTTAAAACCAAGCAAGCTAAACATATTGTCAGGGACAC